TGTCTCAAAAAAAAAAAAAAAAAAAAGAAGAAGAAAAGAAAAGTCTGGTACCCAGATAGGAATGTACCCAAAGCCAGCTGTCATGCAAAAGTTTGCAGAATTCATAACAGCCTCAAGGTTTTTCTTACTCTGTTTTTAGAAAAATAATACATTTCTATGCTAATGCCAGAACTGCTTAAGAATCCATGCTTTTCTAAGGTAGCACATTGTAAATTGAAGCAAACACATTTTTTAGAAATTAAGAATTTTATATTTTTTTATTTTATTATTTATTTTAATTTAATTTTTTTGAGACTGAGTCCCACTATGTTGCCCTTGATAAAGTGCTGTGGCGTCATCGCTCACAACAACCTCAAACTCTTAGGCTTAAGTGATTCTCTTGTCTCAGCCTCCCAAGTAGCTGGCACTACAGGTGTCCACTGCAACACCCAGCTGCTTTTTGTTGTAGTTGCTGCTTAGCAGGCCTGGGCCAAGTTGGAGCCTGCCAACTCTGGTGTATGTGGCCAGCACCCTAACTGATGCACTACGGCACGGAGCCAGAAATTAAGAATTTAGTAATCATTTATGGAAACATAGCTCAATATTCCTCATTCCCAATAAATTGATAAAAAGCAGTTAATAAATAAATACCTGATAATACCCTGAGGAACATATACTAAGGATAAAAGATCTGAAAATGTACTAGTAACAGAGAGAAGGTAAGACATCTTTTAAGCAATAGCTGGATGCCACGGCACTCTACCAATGGTGACAAAATGAGACTCTGTCTAAATAAATAAATAAAATAACAAATCTGTTTGTTTACCATCATGCTGAATGAGTTACTTGTTTATTATAAGACTGAGAAAAGCATTGTTTTTAAAGAGACAGAGTCTCATTTTGTCACCCTCAGTAGAGTACTGTGGCATCACAGCTAACAGCAACCTCCAGCTCTTCAGCTTAGGCAATTCTCTTGCCTCAGCCTCCTGAGTAGTTGGGACTACAAGCACCCACCACAATGCCCAGCTATTTTTTTGTTGCAGTTTGGCTGGGGCCGGGTTCGAACCCGCCACCCTCGGTATACAGAGCCAGTGCCCTACTCACTGAGGCACAGGTGCCACCCAGAAAAGCATTTCTATTAATAAAATATAAAAATTCCCAATAAAGTAGTTAAAAGTGTTACCAGTTTTGCTATGGCTTCAGAAATGACATCCTTCAGTTTGATGTGATGTAGTTTGTAGTGCTTGGCCAGTTCTGCAGCAATACTGGATTTCCCCACAGCCGGAGGACCAAGAATACAGATTTTGACTGGCTGCAAGACAATTGAGAACATACAGGGACCTCTGAAGGATCTGTTGCTCTGTGTATGATAACTAGTCAGGGTGGGGTTTTTTTATTATCATTTCAGGAATGTGTCTTTTCTAAAGTCTCTGGAACCTGCAGGCCAGCTCTCACTCCTCTGTCAGGAGTTCACAGTCACTGCCCACTCTCCTGCCACCACCACGGCTGCCACATCATCTTGAAACCGCCTGCTCACTAGTTGGATATTTCACATTCTGGCCCATGTTCATTCATTCAGTAGGTATTTCATAAGCATCAACTGTGTGTGCTGACCTGGGCCTGGGGGATACAATACTCAATCAGATGTGCTCAGGAATACCTCAGATCACAAAAGAATTAATGCTCTGGCATCAAATGCTACCACACAGCACACAAAGTAGTGTATCGTGCTACCCTTATAAAGATAGCAAAGAAAGGCTTGGTGCCCATAGCACCGGAGTTACAGCGCAGGCCAAATGCACTGAGGGTGGTGGGTTCAAACTCAGCCCAGGCCAGCTAAAGCAGTGACAAGCTCTCATAGCACAGTGGTTACATGCCAGCCAGATGCACCAAGGCTGGCAGGTTTGAACCCAGCCTAGGCTGGCTAAACAACAACTACAACAAAAAATAGCCAGGTGTGTGGGGGGTGGCTGTAGTCCCAGCTACTTGGGAGGCTGAGGCAAGAGAATTGCCTGAGCCCAAGAGTTTGAGGTTGCTGTGAGCTATGATGTCATAGGTACTCTACAGAGGGTGACAAAGTGAGACTCTGTTTCCAAAAACAAAAGATAGCAAAGAAACAGAAGACTTTCTAGTTCAGTGTACAAGGGGTCTAATTTGCTCCCTGAACAGTTGTTTATGGATTTAAATTCTTTTTTTTTTTTTTGAAACAGAATCTCACTATGTTGTCCTCGGTAGAGAGCTATGGCATCACAGCTCACAGCAACCTCAAGCTCTTGGGCTTTAAGCAATTTTCTTGCCTCAGTCTCCCAAGTAACTGGGACTACAGGTGCCCACCACAATGCCCAGCTATTTTTGTTGTTGTTGTTGTGTCATGGTTGTTTAGCAGGCCTGGGCCAGGTTCAAATCCACCAGCCCAGTGTATATGGCCAGTGCCCTACCCACTGAGCCACAGGTGTGGAGCCTGGATTGAACTTTTAACACAGTTTATTCTGATTTTTTTAAATGATTTTACTTATTTATTTATTTTTTGCAGGTTTTGGCCAGGGCTGAGTTCGAACCTGCCACCTTCGGCATATGGGGCCGGTGCCCCACTCCTTTGAGCCACAGGTGCTGCCCTATTCTGATTTTTTAAAAAAATACTATACACGCTAAAAAAGAAAAGAAAAGAAAACCACCAGGGCGGCGCCTGTGGCTCAAAGGAGCAGGGCCCTGGCCCCATATACTAGAGGTGGTGGGCTCAAACCCAGCCCAGGCCAAAAACTGAAGAAAAAAAAAAAGACCCCACCTGCTGAAAACTTGCTTGAATGCTAATGAAGCTCTGTGTAAGTAAGCTCAGAACCAGTAAATAAATGTTTATTTTTGTTTCTTTCTTCTTTTTTTTTTTTTTATAAGACAGTGTCTTGGCTAGGCACCTGTGGCTCCAGTGGCTAAGGTGCCAGCCACATATACCTAAGGTGGCAGGTTCAAATCCAGCCTGGGCCCGCCAAACAACAATGACAGTTCCAACCAAAAAATAGCCAGGCATTGTGGCAGGCGCCTATGGTCCCAGCTACTTGGGAGGCTGAGGCAGGAGACTCACTTGAGCCCAGGAGTTGGAGTTTGCTGTGAGTTGTGGTGCCACACAGCACTCTACCCAGGGGGATAGCTTGAGGCACTGTCTTAAAAAAAAAATAATAAGAAGACAAGATCTCAGCTCGGCGCCTATAGCTCAACCGGCTAAGGCGCCAGCCACGTACACCTAAGGTGGCGGGTTCGAATCCCCAGCCTGGACCCGCCAAACAACAATGACGGCTGCAACCAAAAAATAGCCTGTGGTCCCAGCTACTTGGGAGGCAGAGGCAGGAGACTTGCTTGAGCCCAGGAGTTGGAAGTTGCTGTGAGCTGTAATGCCACGGCACTCTACCCAGGGGGACAGCTTTGAAAAAAAAAAAAAAAAGAAGACAAGGTCTCACTTTGTTACCCTTGGTAGAGTGCCTGGTGTCATAGCTCACAACAACCTCTAAGTCCAGGATTCAAGCCACCCTGTTGCCTCAGGCTCCCAAGTAGCTGGAACTACAGGTGCCCTGCCACAATGCCCAGCTATTTTTTCTATATTTAGTAGAGACAGGGTCTTGCTCTTGCTCAGGCTAGTCTTGAACTTCTTTTTTTTTTGGAGACAAGAATCTCACTTGGTCACCCTTGGTAGAGTGCCGTGGCTCACAGCAACCTCAAACTCTTGGACTCAAGCGATTCTCTTGCCTCAGCCACCCAAGTAGCTGGGATTACCCGTGCCCACTACAACTCCCGGCTATTTTTTAGAGACAGGGTCTTGCTCTCGCTCAGGCTGGTCTCCAACCTGTGAGCTCAGGGTAATCCACCCTCCTTGGCCTCCCAGAGTGTTAGGATTACAGGCATGAGCCACTGTGCTGGCCTCTAGTGTCAAACTCATGAGTTCAGGCAATCCACTTGCTTTGGCCTCCCAGAGTGCTACCCTTATAGGCATGAGTCACTGTGCCTGGCCGTAAATGTTTATTTCAAAATATCAGTAATCACTAATCTTTTATTTCAAAATGGTCCAAACAGCTGTGAAACTGAGACCTAGAATTTTGCATGGCAAATTAAAAAATTATGCCTATGAAAAGGATTTCCACTGGCAGGATGCTTAAAGATGATATCATTTTTATTTATGAAGTTGTTTACTATTATTGCTGCCATTTCACACAAGGAGACCAAGGCTGCTCAGGAAATAAGCAGGCCTGTTGGGGAGGTTCTGGGCAAGGCGTGCTGGGTATGAATGGTGCTATTTGATTAGGACTGATGGTAACAGCCACAGTGGCAGGAGGTACAAGGAGGCAGGAGTGAGGGTGAACAGCTCTGGAGCTGAATCCTTATAGGCATGGGCTTGGTGCATTTATCAAGGCCTGAGATCCAGCTGCCAACTTAACAGGTTTACCTGCCTCATTTTGTCCATAGACCAGCAGTGGAGGCTATCTCCCGGCCTGGGCTCACTTTATCTATGTGTAATCCAGAATCTATTCATCTACTTATGATGAGAAGTATGACTGCCCCAGAACTGAGAACACTCCAAGTACATGCAACTGGAATATTTGCTCCCTCAGAACAAGCAGGCATCAGGAACCAGGTCTTTAGACAGGGTCTCTACATAAGCTTTGGTCAAAACAAGGGGAGTTAGAAGAAGCAACTGCTCAGTGGCATCAAGTTAGTGCACTTGTCTCTGCAGCAATGACAACTTTACCTTGCTAAAGGAACTGGAATCATGCAAGTACAAGACTTGAGACTTCATCTTCTGGGGATGTCAATGAATGACACTGGTAGGTCTACACTGGCCTTGGTAATGTTTCCTATTCTATGCTGCTTGGCTAACCAACACCCCCAGGGATGGACATACTCTGATACATTTTTAGATGTACTATTCTTTTTATCATGTTCTTGTCCAGTTTTGCTAATCAGGAACCATATGATCTCTCTAAAAAGTCTTGTTGTTTTTCTACTCTGTGTGTTGATTTGTAGTAGGCCTATAGAGAAGGATGCAGGTCTAACCTCTGGAGTTGGGTAGGTGTGCCTCAGGTGCCACGTACCGAGGAGCTTAGGTGCTTAAAGGGACCATTATTTCTTTCTTTTGCTGAGGGGTATACCTTTTACTTATTCTTAACTAAGCATGTTCACTTATTCTTAACTAAGCATTTATTTATTTTTATTTTAATTAATTTATTTATTTTTGAGACAAAGTATCACTGTCGCCCTGAGTAGAGTGCCATGGTATCATATCTCACAGCAACCTCATGCTCTTGGGCTTGAGCAATCCTCTTAACTCAGCCTCTCTAGTAGCTGGGATTACAGGCACCCAACACAATGCCCAGCTAGTTTTTCTATTTTTAGTAGTGATGGGGTCTTACTTTTGTTCAGGCTGGTCTTAAACCCCTGAGCTCAGGCAATCCACTACTGCCTCAGCCTCCCAGAGTAGAGGCATGTTTGCTTTTATTATTTATTTATTTGAGACAGAGTCTCACTTTGTCACCCTTGGTAGAACGCAGTGGTGTCACAGCTCACAGCAACCTCAAACTCTTGGGCTTAAGCAATCCTCTTGCCTCAGCCTCCCAAATAGCTGGGACTACAGGCTCCCACCACAACACCTGGCTATTGTTTTTTCTTTTTTGAAACAGAGTCTCAGTTTGTCATCCTCGGTAGAGTACAGTGGTGTCACAGCAAATTCCAACTCTTGGGCTTAAACAATTCTCTTGCCTCAGCCTCCCGAGTAGCTAGGACTACAGGTGCCCACCACAATGCATGGCTGTATTTTTTTGGTTGTAGCTCTCATTGTTGTTTGGCAGGCCTGGGCTGGGTTCGAACCTGCCAGCTCCAGTATATGTGGCTAGCGCCCTAGCCATTGAGCTACAGGTACTGAGTCGGCTATTTTGTTGTTGTTGTTATTCTCGTCATTGTTGTTTAGCAGGTCCTGGTTGGGTTTGAGTCTGCCAGCCCTGGTGTATGTGGCTGGTGCTCTAACCACTGAACTATAGGCTCCAAGACGCTGTTTCTTTCTTTCTTTCTTTTTTTTTTTTTTGTAGAGACACAGTCTCACTTTATTGCCCTGGGTACAGTGCTGTGGCCTTACACAGCTCACAGCAACCTCCAACTTCTAGGCTTAGGCGATTCTCTTGTCTCAGCCTCCCAAGTAGCTGGGACTACAGGTGCCCACCACAGTGTCCGGCTGTTTTTTTGTTGCAGTTTGGCTGGGCCGGTTTGAACCCACCACCCTTGGTATATGAGGCTGGTGTCCTTCCCACTGAGCCATAGGCGCCACCCTTTTTTTTTTTTTTTTTTTTAAAGAAACAGAGTCTTATGGCTTGGCACCTGTGGCTCAAACAGCTAAGGTGCCTGAGCTGATGGGTTCGAATCCAGCCCGGGCCTGCCAAACAATAATGACGGCTGCAACCAAAAAAAAAAAAAAAAAATGTCTGTGCGTCGTGGCAGGCGCCTGTAGTCCCAGCTACTTGGGAGATGGAGGCAGGAGAATCACTTGAGCCCAGGAGCTGGAGGTTGCTATGAGCTGTGATGCCTCAGCACTGTACCCAGGGCAACACCTTGAGGCTCTGTCTCAAAAAAAGAGAAAGAAAAAAGAAACAGATTCTTACTTTATTGCCCTCAGTAGAGTGCTGTGGCATCACAGCTCACCACCACCTCCAACTCCTGGGCTTAGGTGATTTTCTTGCCTCAGTCTCCCTCCTGAGTAGCTGGGACTACAGGCATCCTCCACAATGCCCAGCTATTTTTGGTTGTAGTTGTCATTGTTGTTTGGCTGACCCGGGTCGAATTCAAACCCGCCAGCTCTGGTGTATGTGGCTGGTGCCTTAGCCACTTGAGCTACAGGCACCACCAACTTTAAAAATTTTAATATACATTTGGCAAGTATTGATTTAATACTTGCTCAGGTTGGTCTGGAACCCCTGAGCTCAAGAGATCCTTCTGCCTCAGAGGAAATTTATATGTAAATTGGTAGACTAGGATGAGTTTGTCAAATTAGAAAAACAACTTGAAGGCAAGGCACAATGGCTCACGCCTGTAATCCTAGCACTCTGGGAGGCCTAGGTAGGTGGACTGCTTGAGGCCACAAGTTTAAGACCAGCCTGAGCAAAAGCAAGACTTCTGTCTCTACTAAAGCTAGAAAAGCTGAGGCAAAAGGATCTCTTGAACCTAAGAGTTGGAGGTTGCTGTGAACTTTGACACCACAGCATTCAACCCAGGGCAAAAGCTTGAGACTCAGTCTCAAAAAAAAAAAGAAAGAAAAGAAAAGAAAAACAACTTGAAATTAGAAATTTGGACTTGCAAGAAAGAAAATATTTCATTGGCATAATTACACTAAAAATTTTATTTACTTTGCTTAAATTGGAAGTTTAAATAGGAAATGGGGCCGGCTGAGGTGGCTCACACCTATAATCCTAACTCTATGGGAGGCTGAGGAGGAAGGATCTCTTGAACTCAGAAGTTCCAGACCAGCCTGGGTAGTATGAAATGCAGTCTCTTCTAAAAATACTAAAAATTAGCAGGGTGTTGTGGCAGGCACCTGTAGTCCCAGCTACTTGGGAGACTGAGGCACAAGGATTGCTTGAACCCAGGAGTTTGAGGTTGCTGTGAGCTAGACAACACAGCACTTCTAGCCTGGGCGTGCAAACAAACAAAAACAAAAAATCTTTATGGTTACCAGTAATCCTCTGCTTTGCTTGTACTCTTTGAGGATAGTGTTGATATTGTCTGCAAATCCTGTTTGGGCAATCCATCGAATGTTAAAATTCTCCTTCACAAAGACTCCTTCCATTCTTAAGTTGACCAGTAAATGGTCAAGACAGTCTTGCTAAAAGAGAGGAAAAGTTAGAGATTTGTCTTTTTTGTTACATTCTGACAGTTAAATGATTACTAAAGGAAAATAATACACATTCACTAAATATCAAAGTCAATCCAGCATGAAGTATTTACAGAGCATTTATTGTGATACTATAATACTTCTAAATGGTCCCCATGTCTACCTTCTGGGGTAGGTAGCATTATGGCTCAATGAGAAGAAAGATGTAGGGAATACAAGTATAGGTTTTCTTTCTTAAGACTTTTAATTGCAGCTCGGCGCCTGTGGCTCAAGTGGCTAAGGTGCCAACTACATACACCTAAGGTGGCAGGTTTGTATCCAGTCTGGGACCGCCAAACAACAATGACGGCTGCAACCAAAATATAGCCAGGCATTGTGGCAGGCGCCCGTGGTCCCTGCTACTTGGGAGGCTGAGGCAGGAGA